GTTCATGCACCATGGTGGGGCCTTTGTGGAGCTCAGCAACTTTAGGGGCAAAGACTATGTGAGCACCTGGACCTGTATAGGGATAATGACATAAAAACTAGTTGTTCCTAGCAGAAACCATTTCCGTACGTTTATCTTGTTACCAAATCGAGACGAAGTGAAAATAAGCGACGCTTCAAAGTTGTTTAATTATTGCTAACAAACGAGGCAACATCAAAAAGCGAAGGGCGCTGCTCTAAAATACATTTACTCAAATTGACCCCTTTGTTCCTCAAATGTCTTGAAGAAAACCGAACAATTTCTTTAGCTGTCAAAATGACCACGGGCATCTTCTTCGAGTGAGTTTCGTCCTCTAGTACGTATCAGAGCCTGGTGAGGTGCGTTGACGAGTCTTTGCTGCTCGCATCAGCGACCTACCGCCATGTTGTGGCGCGTTTACGGGAGGCTCGGTAGGGTTTGAATATCTGCGGACCCTACATGCCCCGGCTACCCGAAGTCCCTGAATCAGCTTCGTAACTCCTTCACAAACTGCTGCTAATCATGACATGTCGTCAGGCTAGGCTTATATTATAAATTACCGAAAGCCTTAAGTCTTCGGGGATTCTTTCGCAAGGTCTTCGGCGTCGCCGTTGGCTACTCCATCGTGAACCTGCCTCTCGGATTCTAAAAGCCCATGACCGTTTGGCAGGCACTGCTAGCTGCCAGAGACTCTAATGCCCCTGATGCGTTCGAACTACAGAGGGATCCTCCGTGTGCCACCTTGTTACTAGATCCCGTAAATAAATCCTAATCCGAAAGCACCATTACCCTCAAAACCGGCAGCTCTACGCCCAAGAAACCTGGACCGCACCCCCCCGATTGCAAATCCTGCGACTCCTAACTCCGTGGTGCAGGGTGCCGTGTTCCGGGTCGGAAACGGCTGACTCGCTTGAGGTTTTGGGAACCGCGACTTCTGCCTGAGAACAGTAAGAAGATGGAGCTCGGTCCAAATCCGAACGTTGCCTCAAAGCTAAGCCCAGCGGAGGTATGCAGATGGGGAAGATTGGACAGATGCTTGACGGCTCGTGATGTGAATATGCCTACATCAGTCCACTAGCTGTTACTCTACGGGCTTTACGCTAGTTCAAGGTGTGCAGAGCTCGACGACACCAGCAGCAAACACTTCATGCCCCAAACTGGATGCAGCACAATGCCAGACCCTGAGCGCTCCATCTGAGCATATCTGGCATTCAAACATCCCCCAAACCCTACAATCCGGGGCACGTTTTCTACAGGGTTTCTCATGGCCAGCGGTGTCTCCAATTTTCTCTGAAACGCCATTGTCCAGCTCCAGAAAACGAACTCCTGATGTGTCAGCGGTTTTATGGTTTAGGCTTTAAGCTGATGTATATATGCTGTCGGGCCCAGAGTCGGTAACCAGCAGTTTAGTTCACTGCTCTTGCGTTGCAAACTGGCGAAGCTCCTCTGAGCATCTATTTCCCAATATTAATATGGACTATTGAACCCCTTTTCCTCTAAGTCCTTATAAACCCCAAGACACAATCCAGGACTACCATCGTGACAACTACAAGTCGGAGGGAAACCGGATCGCTGCAGCCGGCTCAACAGCAGCTCACGATGTGACGATAGGGGCCGGTCCTATGGGGGGGGGGCTCTTCAAGTTTTAGAAAGGTGGGTTTGGGATTAAGGGTCCTTTAAGGGGTTCCTTGAGGGTTTCTGTAAGGATGCTATATATATATATATATATACCTACATACATACATATACATACGGGTTCAGGGTTTCGGATGTTCTAGAGTTTTGTCGGGTTTTGCAAGGGTTTCGTTGAATCAAGGCTTGATGTGGAGGTTACGAGTCTACCCCAGTGGACAGCCGAGCAGGTTGTGACCTCCACTCCGATACTGCTACTTTACCTATAGTCTCCATTGTAGTTCCTTTTTGGGGTTACCTTTTCGGATCCTTCATATAGATTTGGTTAAACCCAAAAAAGGAACTACACTGGAGACTATAGGATGTATATCATCATGATGCAGTGTAATGGTATATATAGGACTTAGAAAGACAGCGCGAGTTGTTAGATGCACCCGAATCCCCTAAATCCTAAACCCTCAATCCTAAACCCTAAACCCTAAATCCCTAAACCCCTAAACCCTAAACTCGGCATTCAAAACCCTAAAACCCTAAACTCTAAAGCCCTAAAGCCCTAAACCCTAAACCCCTAAACCCTAAACCCTAAACCCTAACTTTGGCGCAGGCCAGCTTCGGTGCGCCGAGGGAGTTGAGGCCAAGTCCGAGCTGCTGCCTTTGTTGTAGGGTTTAGGGGCTTTAGGGTTTTTATAGTGGGCTGTAGGGTTTTCTACTATGATGGTACTTGGACCCTTTGGATAATGGGCTTTGGGGTTTTGGGTTTTGGGTTTAAAGGTTTAGGGTGGGCTTTAGGGTTTTGGGCTTTGGGGTTTTGGGTTTAGGGCTTTAGGGTTTAGGGCTTAGGGTTTAGGATTTAGGGCTTAGGGTTTAGGGTTTAGGGGTTTAGGGCAATTGGCTTCAGGGTTTTTCGTCCTTCACCCAAAGTGTCCAAGTAATCGTATAGTATATACTTTTGGGGTCCAAATACCTACTAAGTACCTACTATGATGGTACTTGGACCCTTTGGGTAATGGGCTTTGGGGTTTTGGGTGCAGGTATTTTTGGGTTAGGGTGTACTTCCGACTTTTTGTTTAGGGGCAGTGAGCTTCAGGGTTTGTTTGTTGACGTATTGTTTGGCGTTTTGCGGGCCTGGTGGCATATTTGCCGATGTATTGAGATACAGACTTCAGTCAAAGAAGCATGCCTATACTCCAAGGACCTGGCGATCTGCCGAACAGGGATGGCAGGAAGATATGCTAGACCCAAGCTCCTTGCCTCTGAGCCCTACAACAACGACATATCCCCCTGAAGCCCTAAACCGCAAGAACCCCTAAACCCTAAACCCCAAACTGAAGGTTCAAGCACCTGGAGACGGGCCTTGAGTTTGGCTTTCCACAAACCAATGGTGCGGCCCTCACGCTTACCACCGAGGTTTAGAGTTTAGGGTTTAGGGTTTTAGGGTTTAGGGTTTAGGGAAGTTGCATATCAGGGGTGTGGGGCTGGTATTTTTGGTCTACTTTTATTAAGGAACCCAAGGGAAGACTACTGGTAGGCTTAGATAAAGGGTGTTGGGCTGTATTTTCGTACTTGTATTCTTGAAGTACCCAGCGAAGAATGTTGGTAATTGTAGTCTGGGTTCTATAACTTGTGATTTTAAGGTTTAATGGTTCTGTCCACCGGAAGTTCCTCAGGACAGAACTCACGCAACCCTTTTCTTCAACCTGAAAGAGATTTCCTACGAAACTCGACACCGAAACCTTTGGAGCCCTGGACCCTAAAGCTTTCAAAGCTCTAAACCCTTCAAGCAATAGACGCCGGAAGGCCTAACGGTTTAGGGTTTAGGGTATCCTAAACCCCTAAACCCTTTAAACCCCTAAACCCTATAAACCCTAATTAAACCCTAAACCTCTAAACCCTCAATCCCGGAAGTCTTAGAAGGCTATCTGGGACAGCGCCTTCAACAACACCAGAAGAGACTCCCCAGTCCTTTTCTTCCGGAACTTAGGGTTTATAGGGTTTTCGGGCTAAGCAACGGTTTAGGGTTTAGGGTTTAGGGTTTTCGGGCCAAGCAATGTAGTCCGTCGATTGTATTTGCTTGGAGGACCAAGGTGTCTCGATTTCTCAACAGATGCCTATACACGCATACAGAAGTCCATAAACGCTTCTGAACTATGAAAGGACACTTAAACACCGACTGTGGCTTTGCAAAGCCCGTGCAGAATTACAGTTACAAAGTCCATTGAAAGCCTCTGCAGAACCTCTTCTGACATCTTTCTAACTTACAACCAGTGTAAAGTCCCTATATCGAATCCCTAAACAGAGCCTTTCTTTCCCTCAAGGAGACGTCTTTGCCTTCACTGAGCCGGTCAACTCAGCCTTCCAGCACTTCGACAGAAAGCTGGCAAGTAGGCATTCCATTGAAGCTAAAGGTTCCGTTGGTAAGCTCTCAGCCCCAACTCAAACCTACGACCCGCAAGACCTTCAGCACTTCAAAAAGCACTGTAGACCCTAAAGATGCAGAGACTCCAGAGCCCCTCAGTTAAGCTGAGCTTTTCGCGGGATCCGTGATCCCATTAACCTGATCTAAGGCAAAAAGTCATGGTCGTTAGTTTGGAGTTTTGGAGCCTCTGAGGATTTCCGATATCTCCAGGCACTGCATCCCGCGCCTTCTGCCGGCATCTTCCGTCGGGCCTCGCATATCCGTGGCATCGCTGCAGAAGCCGAATTTGAGCGGCTTGATGGGTTCCTTCAAATTTGCCGGAAAGGGATCCGCAGGGGTCTAGTGCTTAAGGTGTTTGGGCGCTTTGAACGTTTGGGTGTAGGCGGAAGTTGTGATCTTCCTTTGCTTTAAGAAACGAACCACCTATCCCTACAAGTGTAACGTTTCGACTTCAGGGAAGTCTTGGGCTGTTTAGAAGGTGTTTTTTCGGAATGTTCTGTGTGTCTCGGTTGCCTTATGATGGCCAGGACCATGATCATTCGTATTACGTCCGGGGCAACTAGTAGCCTCTTGCAAAGCTCGGTATGCCTGGCCGAAACCGCAAATCCCAAGCCCGCAAACCAATGTGAAGGATGTGTAGACGTTCTAACTATCTTCGAATGGCCACAACGGTGGCACTTCAAGCTGTGTTTGAATAACCTATGAACCTCCACGTAGTCACGAAGAGCCGCCATAAAGCCCTTATAAAGTCTGACCAAGACCCTATACCTAAACCCTAAACCCCTTTGGCTCAAGCGACCCGTCTTGAGATATAAATGGTATCGGATTCTTTGCCTTCCCGATTGCTGCTTTCGAGCAGTCTACAGGGCAACCACCGGCGTTGATGGATTTCAATTTCGTCTTCCAATTGACAAAGACTCACGTATGGAGTTCGATGTTTCAGGTGAGTGCTCAAGAGAACACCTGGGAGACCTGGAAGAGTTCTACCTCTCCACAGCTCGAGAAAGAGAAGGATGCCATCTCGAGTGCATTGTCGGATGTGGTGCAGCGCCACGGTTTTGGGACTTGCTCCGATTTTCTCCAGGAGCATGGTGGACGCTATTTTTTGGAGCACCAACATCACGAGTTCGTTTTCGACTTGCAGAATGGAACAAACTGTTACGCCACGTCTTCTCTCAGTCCGCATTGGGGACAAGTCCTGCTCTTATTAGAGCAAGCCTGCACCAGTTGGCATGCACCATCTGGTCAGCTAACACAGTTGAGTCGGCCAGTATGCGGATTGTTGGGCCAGCGGCTGTACTTCAGTGGCATAACAGACGACGACTTTATAGCCGAGGTCTTTGGGACTGGGCTCGGGATGCCACCTTGGACTGGCTCGGTTTTGAAGTGGGCTACCGAGCATACACTCACGTGGAGCTGCTACCCTCAGCTATGGAACCAGTATGTGGAGAAGACGATCGAGAGGGGAAGACAGTCGGCGACGGCGACGATAAGAAGGGAGGGGGAGGACCCGGAAAGCCCGGAAAACCAGCTGATGATGTTGTCTGCAACTCGAGAGGGGATGGTGAAGGCCATGACGGAGGCATGCCGGGAGCTGTATCCAATTCTGGAGGATCTGGACCTGGTGTTCCACATGCTGGGGAAGAAGGACAAGGCCAAGAACCCATTCTTCAACATCTTGACAGTGGAGAACATCCAACGGGAGATGAGCGGGCTGCCACCAATCAAGGCGAAACACAAGTTCTTTGCGAAATCAAGAAAATCTATGGTGAGCCTAGCGCTAGCAAAAGCTGTGTCCCTTATGAGAGCGGTGCACCTATGGACAACTGCTTCGCCATCCGAGAAGATGATAAGGGAGTACGCTATGTTGGAATCCATGGTAGGATTTCAGGCAGCCCTCTATCACGGACACCTTCGGTGGTTGGTGTCGCCACAGGTCCCCTGCCCGCCGAGCCCGTAATTTACTCAAATGACATCACAAACATTGTGGCGGCAGGAAAAGAGAGGACTGATCAGAAGACTGCCAATTTCCCATTTGAGCCCACCACAGAAGACAAACAAAAGATAGGTGAGGTGCTCAATCATGCAATGGGATATAAGGGCAACCGGAAATACCATGTGTTTTCAAAGGAGCAGATTGATGAGGTGATGGAGGATTTTTTCCATTTGTCGAGGTGGAACTCCAAGAAGTGGACGGAACAGCGCTTTGAAAACACATTCAATCAGTTGCTCAGGCAGGTTGATCCCAGGTATAAGACGAGAGCAAAAATAAAGCTGGAGCCGATGGGCACACGCGCAGACGGGTCTGCCAAACCACCCCGTCTGCTCATTGCGGACGGGGATCACGGGCAGATTATGTCACTACTCACGATCGGAGTGTTTGAGAAGTTGCTCTTCAAGAAATTTTACCACCGCAGCATAAAAGGACGGTCAAGACGCAAAGCGTTACAGGATGTGGTGAAGTATTTGAGGCCCTCCAAGAAACACGTGGGAACCACGATGCGCGGACCTTTTGCACCCATGGTTGAAGGAGACGGTTCGGCGTGGGATTCTTGCTGTTCAAAAGGATTGAGGGACCTCATAGAAAATCCCGTGCTAAAACACATCGCGACGCACCTCCTTGAGTATTTCGTTGTCCCACCACGGTGGGAGGAGGAGCACGGGAAGACAAACGCTGCACCTAAGTACTTGCTTGAGTTTAAGGACAAACTCATCACTTACTTTGTGCAATTGAAGGGCATCCGACGCTCTGGTCACCGTGGAACATCGTGCTTGAATTGGTGGATCAACATGGTGATGTGGATATGCTCAATGTCGAGCAATCCTTGGGTAATGCTGTTTGAGAGGCAAGACACGTGCAAGGACATCAATGGCAACAACATCTGGATGAGGTTGGTCTTGGAGGGGGATGATTCACTTGCACGAATATGTCGAGCCTTGCTGGATAAAGAAGAAGACAACAGAACAGCATATTTTCTTGCTTTTTGGAAACGTCTTGGATTTGACATGAAGATACCCGCTGCGGCGTCGATCCCGACACCAAGCCCTATTCCGAATTCATAGGTACACATTTCTTGTTGGACGACCAGCTCGATTTAGAAGGCACCTTCGTGCCTGACCTTGTTCGCAATTTGGGCAACAACGTGTCGACCACACCTGGAACGCTGCAAGCATTTGAGAACGGGAAATTTGTAAGACTCAGAAAAACATCCGCAGCCGCAGCGCTTTCCAGATCATTAGACTACGCTGGCATTCTCCCACAACTTTCCATGAAATATTTGCAGTACGCGAACGAGTGCTTTGCCGGCGACTTTGTTGATGAGGATCTCTCCTATTTGGCCTCCGGAGAGGGATGCATGTCTTCGCACAATGTTGTCCAGATCATCAACAAGTTGAATTGTGGTGTTGACATTCTTAAAGAAACCAAGACAGACGGAAAAGATCACACCAAGGAACCAACGTATGTGCTTGAGGGAAAACCTCAGAATTGCGAGTTTGAGATTCTACGGAAGATGAATGGGACTGACGTGGAAGCTTATGAGGCGCTGATTAGCTTTCCCTTCAAATTCGGCGACTTCATACCGGACGGACGCTATCAAGCGGTCCTTTCCGGGCTGACACGTCACAAATCCTGAGCCGGTGTATGTTTCACGCACGCGCACCTTTTTCTAGTCTGACGTCTGTACAGTTCGGTTCAGGGGGTCACGTCTGATAACGGCGTGATTGAGATGACATAGAAGGTGTTGGGCCATCCGAGCGGTGGCGGCCGGAGTCTCACCGGCGCGGGATACACACCTTGCGCGGTGGCTGCATTCGCGTTTCGGGGTTCATGCCCCGACTATTAAGGCTTATTCTTCTTCGGTCTGCTCCTCACAGACCGGCGAGCCTGCTGCCCCCACCCGTAGGGGCTGAGGTGAGGCCAACCACCTTACAGGGAGAGCGCTCTCGCTCCCGGCGTCCGTTGGGGGACGAAAGTAGGGTGGCCTCCGAGACCCACCATGCAGCTATGGGCACGAGATGTCGGCGCTGGTTGCACGCTCGCGAGGGGCTGCCTGCATGAGATTATGAGACGGTGCATGCATGCATGTGAGAAATGTGAAGCATTGCAACTCTGCATGGTGTTTGGTGGTAACAAGAGTTTGGTTCGTGAAGTGTGTGAGAGTCGGCATGTGTTTTGAAACAGCTCTGAGAGAATCATCTCAGTCCGTCGTTTGTTCTTGCTGTGGGACTGCGAATGGCTGACCTCTGGCCTAATCTGGCTTGAGGGATACCTGCAGGCCTGTAGTGATCTAGCGGAGACCGAACCAGAGCCTTGCCTGCATGCGACGGCATTTTGCTGACATCTGTAGTGGGTTTTTCTTGGTATATGACCTGTCTTGAGTCAAAGTGCTTGAGAGTACAGCCTTGCTTGTCCCTGTCACGTAAGGCCCTCGAACCCCTCGTACTTAGGTTGTAGTCGGGCGCCCGTGACATGGACTGTAGGAGTGGTAGAGATCTCTGGCTCCTTGCACACTGCAGGTTGTTTAACTTTAGGGCTAATAACGGCTTGTTGTGCTTGAGCCGATCTTTATCACTAGTGCACACTTGTCTTGTACTCAAGTCATCCTCCCTTGTGGGCATAGATCCTCAGCCATGCGAGAGGGGAAAAACCCAAGACCCTATACAACCTTGATAGAACCCCATGTAAAACTCTCTTAAACCCTAACTCCTAAACCCTAAACCCCTTAAAACCCTAAACCCTAAACTCTAAACCCTAAACCCTAACCCCTTGTAGAACCCCATGAAAAATTCGCTTCTCATTTCCCTTTTTGCGAAGCCCAGGTCATCCTCTGGGGTCGACTGGAAAGTTCCGCTGTACTTCGGAAGCCGCACGAAGATTGAGAGGACCGAGAAAGAAATATGGGAGTTTCCGAAATTTAGGGGTACCTTGCTTTGGGGGTCCTTATAATAAGGATCCTACTATTTGGGGTACTATGTTAGGGCCGGCTAGTTTCGGAAACTCTCATATAGGGGCCCTTTAACAGACAGGACTGGGGTTCTGGCTTACATTTCTGGCCGGTATTATGTATTATGGTACAACTAAGATAGGTGGGGGCCGATGGAGCACAAGCACCCACAACTGCTTATTTCAGAAATGCGCTTCAATGAACCAAAACTGGGACGGAACTGCTTAAAAGGCGGTTCAGCATGACTGGCAAAGCCCCTAATTTATGCGCACCCTTATGAAACTTCATTGAAGACCCATAGAGCATAGCAAAGAATCCTTAAGGAAAGTCTTTTCGATAGTATCAGTATGGAACCTATATAGATATCATTCCAAAAAGCCTTCCACGCAGGAATGGCGAGCTGCTGGCGTGGCACCTGTACAGCGGAGACCTAGAGACTCCAAAATCCTTCGAATAAGGGATTCTGATGAGATTTTGTTGGTCTTTTGCAATAGTCTGAATTCTAAATTGTCGCAGCAGGAACTATAGAACATTTAGAGAGTTTTAGAAGATTCCTTTCGGTTAGTTACCATCACTGATTTTTTGGACTTCGCGCCTTAAACACATGTAGTATAAGGAGGATGCTTCTTAAAGGTCATTTCTTAATTGAAGCGTTTCGGAGTCTCTAGAGATGCCGGCGGTGCTCGCAGTTTCACCCTACGTGGCGTACATGATTATCGCGGGCCGCTGAGTCGAAAACTTCAACCCCTCAATCCACCTGAACTAACCCTAAACCCTAAACCCTATAAACTTTGCTGCGCCGACCATAAACCCGAGAAGTCGAAAGCATGGATCCGGTCTTTTTCGGATATTTTGCCGAATCCAAGGACTCTCGCTGCCGATGACCCCACAGGACGTCCGGGGTGTGGGATTGGATTGGAATAGTCTACCCATAGGCTCCTTAGTAGTTCCTTTTTGGGACTACCTTATAGGATCCTAAATACCAACCACAAAAAGGAACTACTAAGGAGCCTATGGGTAGTGAAAGCAAGCACTTGTCATTTTATGGCTTCGGTCGTGTATAAGGTGTCAGAACCACAGACAAGGGTTACTCGAATGCTGAGTTGGGGCTATTTATGTGCATACAGTCTCAGAATCCGGGCCACTACGTTCGTATCAGGGATTTAGGGTTTGAGGGCTGCATGCTGCAGTGTAGAGGTCTGATAGGCCAGAAACGTATACTGTCAGTTCGGCGTGACATCATATGATAGATAGTCTACTGAATCATGCCACACTTTTGTGGTATTGAGACTGTCAGGTTGTACATAGGGGTCTGAATAATTCGTCGTGACATTTGTTCGCTCTAGACTTATATTGCAACCTAAACCGAGAACCCTATTCTGATCAATTTCAGTTCCGCGGTTGAGTTTGGGCTTCTCCTAATCCGGATTATTTGGATTCAGGATTCTGTTTCTGCTGCTTATTGAAGCTTTAGTAGCTGTCTGAAGTCGATTGAGATACTCCTGGTAATGGGTTTATGGAGAACAGCAATTGAAGTGCCTCTGCCTCAAAAAGGATCTAAGTATCCAAATTAGCAGATATGTTGCCCCAAAACTCTAAAGACCGTAGACTTCGTTGGTACATCGCTGGGGATTAACAGTTTGTGAGCTTGGCGCTGGTGTAGGCCTCGGGGTGCCTTGATTGCAAACTGCGAAGGATGTCCAGGACGTGACAGGTCGAATACGGTCGAGCCACAGTTTACGCCACATGCAAGTGGTCTTGGTGATAATTGGGGGCTTCAAAACTCAGAGTTTACGGTTTAAGGGCTTGGGCTAACGGTTTAGGGTTCAGGGTTTGCCGGTGGTGCGACCCGTGCTTGAAGGCTCCAACGCATAAGCCTCCGAGGGCCTCGAACTAGTCTTGGGGTCGGGAAAATCTATGAAGATGTGTGTGGCTTGTGTAGCCATTTTACTCTTGAATTTCTGGTCCTGATACAAGTTGATTTTTCCGATGCCCCGAAGCACGCGTCTATCTCTTCAGGACCCTAAACCCTAGACGCTATAAACCCCAAACCCCATAAACCCTATACCCTATGACCCTATACCCTAAACCCTATAACCTAAACCCAAAACCCTACAAACCCTAAACCGTGTCATCATGACACGGCGGGCTCTGGCAAAGGAAGCTCTCCGCTTGCTGCGCTCGTCCACGCCTCATCTTTGCTTGGCTTCTTCAGACTCCTTTGGGTTTTAGGGGCTTGTGTCAGAATCCTTTGAGTTTCGGTGGTTTTGGTTCAGAGTCCTTTGGGTTTTAGGGGGGTTTGGTTCAAAGTCCTTTGGGTTTTAGGGGTTTGGGGCTTCAGTGCTGTCCTTGAAGAAGGTTCGACTCTCCATGCCACGAGCTGCTGGGCAGCCCGAATGAGACCGGGAGGTTTTCGCCTGCGCAAGCATTGGAAATCGGGGATGGTTTAGGGTTTAGGCCTATAGTTTACACGATGCAAACCCACGAACCCTCAAAGTGTATACTTCTACTTGTCTAATTTTGCAGGGGTTTGGTGTCCCAGGCGCGAGGAGATGGGCTCCCTGGCCGACGATGGTCTTTGCCTCTACATCGGGGCTTGGGAGCTGCTTGGGCAGGCACAGTACGGTATGGTTGGGCTTTGGGGGGTTTTAAGAGCCCTAGACCCTAAACCCTAAAACCCTAAAACCCTAAACCCTAAACCCTAAAACCCTAAACCCTAAACCCTTAGGGCTTCGGCTTTGGCCGAAAGGTTTTAGGCTTGAGAGCTTTAGGGCCTGTAGGCATCCGGTTTCAGACTGCTGGGCAGTTTTTGGAAGACACGAAATCATGTAGGAGCAGAAGACCATATTCGCTTCATTCAGAGTATGGGGGTCTCGCACATACCTACACCAAAAGTTCAGTGGGTGCCATTCCTCGAACTCTGGGGCAGTGAGCAGAGACAGGACATGTTTCTGAATTTTCTCCCTCGGTGCTTTGGACCCGACATCTGCATCCCAATTAGACCCGAAACTCCAATCAGAACCCATCATTACGATGCGACCTCGGACTCAATATTACAGGGAAATTCAGAATGTCCCCCTCAAGGTCTTGATCTGCTAAAACAAATGCAATATGGGGGTTTCTGAAAATAGGGGACTCTCATATATCACCCTAAATAGTAGGATCCTTAGTATAAGGACCCTAGAATAAGGTACCCCTATTTTTTGGAAACTCCCATATCCCGCACACTTCAGTCTGACTATGAGGGCCCCTCATCCAGTGGTATTCCTCGAAGGTGAGGGACTCGGGTCAGGTTTCGCGGTGCTCAGTAGGGCTTTAGGGAGTTTTCTTTAGGGCTCCAACTTATTCTAGTTATGTAGTATAATATACCCCCAGAGCCTTATTCTAATTATCAAGGCCCTTACATTAGGGTTTAGGGCTTCGGGTGCAGGGTCTCCATGGCTTTGGGCCCAGGGTTTGTTGTTTTGAACAGGGAGTTTCGGAAGTCAGGGGGATCTTAAACGAGACTCGGAGTAGTAAAAGGTAAGGCACACTTTCGACCCTGCAGCAGCCCTAAGGGTCCAAGTACCTAATAATCATACACTCCTCTGAAAGCTAATCTACAAAACTACTATCCGTAACCAAAGTACATGATTGTTAGGTCCAAAGGGACCCTTAGGGTAGGCTCTATAGAACTCCCCGAGAACTCATCAACTTTAGCTGCGGCCTGCAGCTCCTGAATGGTACCTAGACCCTTACATGTAGTACCTTTTTTGGTTACCTTAGTTTCTTATTACAGGATCCGAACCATAAAGTAGGTCATCCAATAAAGGGTACTACATTTAAGGGTCATGGTACTCTTCAGCGCTTTTGTTGGTTTAACGTCTCTTTGGAGTTCAAGGGTTTATAGGGTTTAGGGCCGGGGCTACCGATCAGAAAAGCCATGCGCTGACTGCGACAACTTACAACTGTTGGTTACTGGGATGCTTATATTCTCCCTCTTGGTAAGTTTTTCATTATTGGCAGTAAGCCGTCTCGCATTGGGGTGATGGCTGTAGTGTTGCGATTACACCTGTCACTATGTAGGGCGCATCACCTTCATGCTTGATAGGCTATGACCATTCGTCACATTTGTGATTACATGCTGCTCTTATTGTGCCTAGAATCGTTGTCTGTCCACATTTCTCCCATCAAAAGCAGGTTGGGTCCCCAAGACTCGAGCTTGAGGTTTAAGCGCAAGTGACGGCGCCAGAGTAAGGTACGACGCAGATGACTGGACTGCAGGAGGTGCAGCATGGTCGCCTCCCGGATTGCGTTTCTATTTACGGGACTTTCGGCTAAGGGTTCGGCATTCGAGTTCTTCAAGACCCAACCTTCCAAAGCTTTTGGGTCATTTTTTAAGCCTTCAAGCTCCATTTCCAACTTTGACTTGTCATTTCCTCGGATGTAGCTTACATGGGGCGTATGCTGCCTTCAGGTCCATTTGGTTTGGTGACTGGGTGTGGTGTCAAGCCCTTGTCGGGAGCACTGCCGTGTAGTGGTCAGGGCTAAGGCTCCAGGTTCATGGCCGATGGTCCATGGTGAAGGTCATGTTTAACTCCTCCGCACATCTCAGATCAACGATAACAAGACCATCGCTAGTGAGTGTCCGCAAGCTTGAACCCTACCTAAACCCTAAACCCTATACACCTTAAACGCTTGAGAACTTTGAGGCTTGTCCGAGTTGTGAGTGCTGAGGCCAAACCGTCTCAAATTCCTCCCCCCAAAAGCCAAAAGCAAGAATCCCTGGAAGCTCGAAGCCAACGCGACACTGGACAGAATCGAAGAAGGGAGACCTGAAAGCTTGAAGCCGAAAGTCTCTGTCATAAGTGCCAAAGGGTTTAGGGTTTAGGGTTTAGGGCTTAGGTTTACGGTTTAAGGTTTAGGGTTTAGGGCTTAGGTTTACGGTTTAAGGTT